AGTCGAGAATTTATTGTGAGAATTTCGTCGTTTAGGGTAAATGGACTTTCCCATTGCTCGAGTACTCGTTGACGCACTCCCAGCGCGCGATAACCTTCCTTGATCCCCCCGGAAACTACTAACCGTTCGAATACTTGCGATGAGTATACTCGTGACTTTTATTCCCAGCTACTTGTTCTGGATGAGTGTCGAAAAAATTGGGGAATTTGCAGGCAGCAAGAGTCGAAAGGTCTAGTTTCGTTCGATGGAAAGACTCTTTCTCGTCATTTTGTCTACAATTCCACGATACCGTTGCAATTACTATTTTCGCTGGATCGATTGATACATGTAATATTTAACCAAAAATATTTAAAAAAAATTTAGGAAAATTCCTAGAGGTTTGATTTTTTAATTTCGAAAAGGATCTGAACATTTTCGTCTTTTCGTTAATTCACAGAATTTTGCTGTTCAATGTACGTAAATTTCTTCGTGTCGATTATACGAGTTACTACCAGCTCGGATGACTTTCATCGGAGTAATCCGTTTTTGCTCAATCTCCTCGCGTCAACGAACAACAGTCTCAACAATGACAGCCCGTGAAACGTACTTTTTCTTCCTACGAACTCGGCCGATCCGCGTTCTTTCGCCTCCTTGCTCGTGCGTTAAGCAAACCCCTGCGTCTTTGACTGTAACCCCCACTGTTTGAACAAATTCGATGCTATCTGTCCTGCTTTAACAGCACGAGAAGCTGACGCAGATTCGATCGGAACGGAACGTTCTCCGTGGCTGTTACAGCTTCTTACAAAAGATGGACCACCGATTTGTCGATACTTCGTGACGTTTGACCGAGTTTTTCAACGCCCCGGATCGTTGAAATATTTTTTCTGGTTCTATTGTTCTCTGCGGTTTCCATCTCTCTACCAGAGGTCGATGAAAACCCTCAGGAAATCGATAACAGATCGATCTTGGGACTGCGATAAATTTCGTTTGAAACATCGAATGAAAAATAATTGTACCTACTTTTATTTTTATAATTGCTTCAGACAAAAATAATCTTTAGTGACAGAATTTCTGACGAAAGACTATCGCGGTAAATTGCACCTTTATTTCTGTTTTGGGTGTTTTATACTTTTTGAAACGCTAGCAAAATTGTGAGATATCGCATCTTTTAATCGATCTTACTTAAAATAACCTGTAGTTGGTTAATTTTTTTTTCACAATATCCGTAGTCGCGCTCGTACATTTAATTTTTTTATCACACGCTCGAACGATCGTCGCAGTAATTAATTTCCATTTAATACAAATTGATAAGGAGATTTTTTTTTTAGAGACAGGTGCTACGTTTGAATGAAGTTGTGTGCAAGTTGTTTCTTAAAAAGAATCTTTGTACTCCTCGACTATAATATTCATGCTTGCCTACGTACTTGCGATATAACAGACTTGACAAATGGTCGTCGCCGATCGAATCGAACAGGTACCGTGGCCGTTCTCGCCACTCGATCATGTCAGGTTTCGACGTTTCAATACGGGAACGAGCCTTCGTTCTCGATCAATGAAATCGAATGAAACGCGAAGGGATTACCTCGGTCTCGGGGCTTACGCGCGATTATTCTGTTTAGAAGGAGGGAGGAGGGGGGTGGGAAGGGAAAGCAAACCTTCAGTTCGTGTTACACCGATTCGCACCACCAGCACCGCCGGAAGTAGCCTCGAAATTCAGATTGAATTCCACGAGTTCACCGAGTGGAAACACGAAATGCACGGAGACGACGCGGATTTCTATTTTTCGAGGTGGAAATCCTCGAGCAAGAAATAAATTCTTCGACTCTAAACCCGCCGGGGGGATTAGCCACGGTGCTCGCGTGGGACTTGTCACACGTGAACGTGAAAGATTAGGCATATATTTTCGTACGACGGATCGGTGGATATCCAACCGATGTTTTCGAGGAGGACGGGGGTCGTATACGGGCCATTTGAGGGCTGGAGAGCGCATTCTCAGGGGTACGTTCCTCGAACGTACTCGTAACACACAATGTAACACTATCCCCCTCCTCCCGGCCCGGTATAGAGGAGCAGCCTTGAAGTATCTTTAATGCGAAACCGAGCGGCCGTTCTTGTATTATTTTGTCGTGAATAATCCCTTTATGCAGAGGCAAAGAGGCCGGGCGCGGGCCTTCAAGACGAGACATCTACTTCTGCCGGTTTTCACGCGGGGGGCGGGGGGGACGAAAAACGATTCGATAGCCTCGGGCGACCGCAATGTATGCAATCATCGAGATAAACGCTCGAAGGCGACACCGATCCATTTCGTACCGACGTGGCGACATTTGTTCGAACGTCATAAATTGTTACTTACGATCGATTAAGAATTGAGAAATACTCCTTTGCCTGATAAGCTACAGTCGTCGCTGTCAAACAGTAAAATAATCAGAGAAGACAATCATCAAGAGAACGATGTGATTTCTTTTTTTTTTCTTTCTTTCCTTTTGCGATATCACGCGAGTGAAGCGTAAGTTTAACACTCGTAGGATAGAGAGGGAGAGAGATGATGGAGATGGGGCAGTTTCGGTGACCCTAAACTGTTTTGGCACGCGTCGCAAATGTCCGTGGCCTCTCGTTAGTATTCATTGTACTTTCGGTAAAGCTGCCTTCGCTTTAGTTGGTGTCTGTGAAGAGCAGAATATCCGAGAACGAAGGAAATTTATGGTCCATCTGCGGATCCTCGTCGGGACAGCAGATCAAAACGCGTTTTGTGCATAACTTTTTTCTGGGGAATCTCGTACCTCGCGTCGATGTAAAAAATAATTCTTTCGGTATTAATTTCGGACATCATTTCAGGCAAACCTAATTTTTATTATTTTATGATATATATATTTATTATAATAATTACATTATTTTCCTTTAATTTAAATTTTTTATTATTAATACAAAAATTCTTAAATTTATAATATAAATTACATTTATTCAATAACAAAATTATTTTATTTTCCAAATTATTCAATTCTTTTATTATTTTAAATATATTATAATAATACAATGTATGTATAATATATAATATGTATATATATTGTAATAATTATTTTGTTAATAATTTTAATACTTTTAATTTCCTCGAAAATTTCTTTACATCAAAAAAAATTTTTACGAAATAAATTATCATAATGAAAAAATTTAAAATAATAATTTATAAAAATATTATAGTATATTAAAAATTCTATTATCATTTATAAATCTTCCAACACCAATAAATATTAATTGTATATGAAATTTTGGATCAATATTAGGAATTTTTTTAATAACTCAAATTATTTCAGGATTATTTTTATCAATACATTATTGTCTCAATATTGAATATATATATATTATTGCTGGATTTTCAAAGATCCCGAAACGATTTCTGAAATATTGAATAATGAAAAGATCCTGAAAAGTGTCTGGAATATTGAATGGATATTGAATACTGAATGAAGTCAATAATTATAGAGTAAAATTTGGATATACCATCGTGTTTGTAAAATGAAGAAACGATATTTCGAAAAATTTAAGAAACATAGGTACAAAACATGTGACGTATGATGCATTTTAAAAAAAAAAAAAAAAAAAAAAAAAGAAAATCTTGATTTTTCCTGATTGACGAATGATTAATACGGAAACCACAAATCTTGACGATCCCATTTTCAAAAATCCACCGTATATAATTTGTACGCCCTCCTTTGGCTCCAGATATTCCTTTATCAGATCCGATGGCCGCCGAATTTCGTTATAATCGAGCGTTTTGCAGGCACGGCCACTGTTTTGTGCTGCAGAATGAGATTCTGAAGTGTCTTTAGTGCACTCGGTAGCGCGGCGTTCAATGGTCGCCGCTCACAAATGCGCAGCGGGGTGTCCGACTCTCTCGAGATTCGCTACTCGATACGAGCGTCGTTCATCGGCCAGGGAAATCGTTGTCGATCGTTGCACAACCACAGCTTGATACCTCGGATCAATACTTGTTCCGTCGTGCGACAACTTAATATGTTTATTGCTGTGAGAATGTTACGTTTGGATAGGTGGTAGATTTTTATCTGTCCTCCGTTGCCTTCTAAACTCGCGTCGGGACGCGCTCCAGTCGCTCGGCAAAACCGACTGCGGATCTTTATCCGAAACGGGGCCGCCTCTTGACTTTTCCTCCGTTCCCTTCCGCTTCCTCTTTTGCGCGTGCTTCCGGCGAGAAGAAGAAACTGCGCTAATTGAAAATTATCTCCGACGCTGTATGTGTAGTGCAACATTTGAAATACAATTATGGTGTTACTTGGAAAATTGGTGAGATTTAAAAAAAGAAAAAAATCAAATACAGTGTGTTTTTATAGGATTAAATATTTTATTACTTGCTATATTATTCGTTAAGTGGTTACAGAAATTCTCCTTTGAAATCCTACTTTTTGTTTTTCCCAGTTTTACCAGGTGCTAGAACTTTCTGTGAAGAGCTGCTCCAGTGTAATTTGCAACCAAAGAGTTGGGAAGTTATATTATAATTATGCAATTATGATTATTATTTGGAGTATAACTAATATAAAGAAAAATATTTGAACTAGAACTCCAAAGCAATTTACTCGATTCATCATTTTTTAGACAGCTTCTCGATTTTGAGAATTTTCACATGACGTTCGTACTTTGAAATTTTAGCAAATTAATTCAGAATTTTAAAGAAAATGGCAATTTCGATTTTAACAATGTCGATAAAAAAGTTTATTGGAACAGAGTCGATGAAATTCTACCTCGTGCCATCTATGGATGAAGAAACTGATTAAACTGATTAAATTTGTAAAATTTGTGAAACTAAAAAGTAAAGTTGAAAATTTAGAAAGTATCAGTGCAAAATACATAAAATGTGTACATTTTATCAAAATTTTCAATATTTTCTTATACTTGTCTATTTTGAAAATATGATTGAATAAAAATGATCATTGAAATTCTTTATGAAAATAAAACTACGCGCCAAAATACAACATTATCTATATATTAAATCATTCATTGCAGACAAAATGTCACAAATGACTAGAAAGGCAGGTTTCCAAATTACCGACAGTCGAACACGAGACATCGAGGAAAAGAAAGTCGATCTACCTGCGGTAGATAATACAGAATCAAGGTGATTCCCCGTTCAATGTTTCAAATATATATTTATCAAGTAATTTCAAATTTCAAAAAAATTCCAAAACAAGAAAGCATAAAATTATTTTCATGATATTTAGGAAACAATTGATAGCTCGTATCGAGCAAGTGACTTCATCTGTGATCCAACAAATATGCTCCGGTCGTTTACCACAAATTTCGAACTCACTGTCAGAAAATTGTACACCAGTAGACACGCAACAGGACGATGATTTCGTATCAGAATTTCACGAAGAGCCGGGTCAGAACTTCGATGGAACCGAACGAAAGGAAACTGGAACAGTGGCCAACTTTGGTACCAAAAGAGGCAAAGACAGATTCGCTTTAATGATGATCGTGATGGCCACAGCGCATCGTTTGTTAATTACAAACTCGACCATCACGAGACGATCGCTTTATTACAATCTGAAAAACGACAGGACGTCGAATTTGGTGCCAGAACAGAGATATCTGGATCAGGCGGTGCATCACGTCGCCAATTTACTAAATTGCTCGCCATGGGAGCTCAGTGAGTCCTTTTCAGTAGAATTTAATCAAATTCTAGCGTATCTACCCTTCATTTCTTTTTTCTCTCGTACACGTTAATCTTTGAAATTTGTCGGAAATGAATTTTCAACGTGTAGTAACGATAATGGTGGACTGAAAATAATTACAAATGTATCTCTAAAATTAATTTCCTTTTCGATGAGTGAGTAATAATTAGATTTATAAATTATCGAAAATTGATCAATGACACGGATACTAAATTAAAATTATAATGCTGAAAATAAATCGGGAATAATAATTTTTTCACCAATAGCGAATGACAGTAACAGTATAGGAATTAGTACAAATTGATCAGGAATTCATTTTTCTTCATTGCGATTGCACTATATATACGAAAAATTAATTATCCAGATTTACTGCCAACGTCAAAGGGATTAGCAGCCGGTGAATTGACGCTCACTCTGTCTGACAATCGTGTTATCGATTGCACGGTGCCTGGAGGTGCTCTTATTCCGCACATTGTGTCGAATCTAATTTCCGTTCGCACCACGGCCAAAATGGTACTGATTGTCGAGAAAGACGCTGTCTTTCAAAAATTGTTAGAGGATGATTGTACCTCTTCCTTGAGTTGTATTCTCATCACGGGCAAGGGATATCCGGACGTGGCCACAAGAATGCTGGTTAAGCTGCTGTCCGAGAAATTGGAACTTCCGGTTTATATAATCGTGGACGCGGACCCTTTCGGCATGGACATCATGTGTGTTTATCGGTAAATCAATCAAATCGTACCAACGAGCAAATGAAAATTGGAAAGATCAACCAAGGAATAAAAACGAAAGACACGGAAATACACTTTAAAATAATCTTACCATTGAAATTGTAAACTGCGAAAGCCGATTGAATTTATAAATTTTTATATTAAACTAGAGCCGATATTCTTTCCTTCGCTAACGAGCGCCCGTAAACGAGGAACAAAACGAGAATAAAAATTTCCAGTAAAAGTTGATTTTTCAAAAAGAAAAAAAAAAAAAAAAAGAATAGAAAACGTTGAAGAACGTTCGGGGATTTCACGATAAAATTCTGTTTCACGTTTGTCCAAATTAGTTTCGGCTCGGCTGCGTTATCCAGAGAGAGGAAGAGCTTGGTCTGTTCAAACGTACGCTGGCTGGGAATACATCCGTCGGAATTGCTCGCCCTTGGAGTGAATACCGTTCCCCTCACGGAATTCGATTTATCGAAACTGATGGCACTCGAAGCCAGGCCTTATATGACCGGAGCGTTTCTCAGAGAGCTTGGAATCATGCGAGCCGGAAAGGCGGAGATAGAGAACGTGTATTCCTCCTCGGGAAGATTCCTAGCGGCCACCTATTTACCTTGCAAGATCAAAGGCAACGATTACATTTAATAATAACGATAAAGAATCGCGATTAAAAATATTGCGTGCAGGTTGACAGAAAAGTTTCGTTATTTTGTTTCTTTCAAACGAAACAAACTAATTGCTTCTATTCAAATTTAACTGTTAAATCGGAGATCAAAAGTTTCAGTGTAAAATTTTAATTTAAGTAAATTTTAATAAATAAATATGGATAAAATAATTTTAATAAAACTGTAACAAATTATTGTTTTCCTTCGAGTAGAATCAGTATCTTTTCGGTCAACTTGATATTTTGTTTATTCTGTAGAAGAAAATTTGTATTCACAAGTGATATTTTAAAATACCTGTTAAATGAATGATTATTGTACTGTATTTTCAATTTTGTTGCACTGTATCTGTAATAAAATTTATGTTTCTGCTCATCAATTTCGTATTTGGTTGTATCGTCTGCAACGTACGGATACGAAGAAAAGAGTACAGTATACCTCAAATTTTGGAGATTGAATTTCGTCGTGTCTGGCTACCTCTGCCTGACAGTCATCATTGGCGTCTTCCAAATTTATTAATTCAGGAATCTTTCGGAAAGTTCCCAGATAAATGACACTGCTGTCCGATGATTGTTTCGAGACGACCAACGATTGATTCGAGTCTGCTTTTGTGACAATACGTTGTTCGCTCTTCGATCTCGTCGCGTAAAAATGATCGTGTAACCTTGATGCAACAAAGATTATGAAATATTCGTCTCTTTCCTATTATACCTCGGGGCAATACTGATTATTAATCGCTATGAAACTTATGATAAACCCAAAAATTGAAAACTCTTTTTAGAAAAATGATAAAAGATAAAGATAACATCTTCCTTTTCGGTGATAAAGCAAAATAACTTACCTGTGATTATTTAACGATGGATGAAGGTTTCGATTATTTGTTCGTAAAACATTCAGCCATTTACGTATTTTTCTCCTACGTCGTTGTCCTCGGAAAGTCATAATTTCAATTCTGACAGAACGTTGTCTCTACAAATAGTATTTCTAAAATTCTGAACATTTTGTTCCAAGTAGGATGTTCCTCCCAAAGCTACGATTTTAATTTAAAAAAATAAGAAAAGAAAGAAACAAAGGCGAGCAAATGTCACTCGCGATGATTAATCGGAAGTTGTGCGTGTTTCAGGTACAGGGGGACGAAAGAAAAAAACATCGTGGCTTCAGGTAATGTAACAGTTTATTGAAAACACTTTTGTTCGCCCCGTGGTCAGGGCCGAGTCTCGCTGATATTAAAAAACGCAGAGTCTTAGTAACATGATTATCTCGTGGGTGTTACGTGGAATAATAACGATATCCGCGAAATCGGCGTCTTGAAACGATTGCGGCAAACTCTGTTAGAAATTCATTCCTAACAACGAAGATTAGAAGACGAGACTTCGTGTATTTGACGTGACGGAGACGTGCTCTTTACGAATATATTGAAAATTAATCTGTAACACGTTGAACGACGTTGTTATCCGAGAAATAAAATTCTAAATTTCCAATTGTTACGTCTAGTCATTCTTCGAATAATGTCGATTCTTATTAAAGAAACAGAAGTATTGTTGAAAAACTGTTCACTCTCAATAGGAAGCCTGCGAGAATAGGCGTTTAATTATTAAAATGCTATAGAATTGAAAATTATCAATAAAAGCAGTAACTGAATGTACAATAAATTTTGAAGAATCTGAAGGAAATGAAAAGATGACGCAAGATGATAAATTACATTTGCAACATTATTAAATGTTAAAGAAATGAAAATGAAAAGATCTAACATTATCAAATAACGAAGAATGAAAACGGGAACACGATGCTCTCGTTCAACGTGTTCATTCGTAATGATTCTCGTTTTGCCTAGCTGAAACAAACATCGATCGTGACCGATCGAAGGCGATCGATTCTTCGGTCGTGGCCGATTTCGCGGATGTTCGGTCTCCAGGTCCGTGCGAATATCGTAAAAAACCGAGTGGACAACGATCCGCGTGCCCTCGTTCTCCCACGAGAAACTATCGAGAACGTCTCTCCGTGTCTCTCGATAACGATAATTCGCGGCACTCTTGCTCGCTCGATGATCCGAGCGAATAATTATGTATTTATAAAAAACAATTGTCCGAGCGCGCCGGCCACACTCGCGGTGCACGATCGAATTCAACGAGTCGCTGGCCAATATTCGACTCAACGCTTCCGAGTTGATGTTGATTGATTAAACCGAATCTTTGATCGTTCAGACGTCGTTTCGAGTTGGCTCGTCTGATTCAATTCACACATCGAGGAGTCTGTTACACGCACGGTGGTTGCCGTGACGAGCAGGCCACTACCGGAAACCAAGTCCAAGCCCCCCCCCCCCCCCCCCCCCCCTCCCACCGACGACATACGAACATCGATACGATTGATTGATCTCCATTGACGTGGCATCGAATCACTAGAGAAACGGCCATTGGCCAACATTGAATCGTTAGAAGGAGCAAATAAACGAATTTCGAATCGATCTCGAGCGCGAATAGAGCGAAGATTTTTAACCCTGCATTTTAACATTGAACCGTTTTCCGGGGGAAACTCTTTGAAAAAATGAGCAAGCCTGCTTTCGATCGTTGATTACAAACAGTGGTGAAAATTGTACTTTAACCCTGACTAAAAAACTATTTTTTTTTTTTTTTTTGTTTCCTTTAACACAGCTTGAAAATTATATCTTGAAAAACGTCGAGATGCTTGTTGGAATGTGTTTTATAAAATTGCGGTAAGAGTTGGTACGTTCAGTAGAAAGAAACGACGAACCAGCTCTTTTCTTACGGTGCGGTGGTACAAGTGACGAAGACTTTCAATAGTATCCTTTGTGAAGTGCAATTCGTTAGTTTCAAATTTTTTTGGAACATCGTGTCTTTTTCTCTTTTTTTCTCTTCGTTCTTCTTCTTTTTTTTTTTTTTTTTTCTTACAAAATCATCTTAAAATGCATATTTTTATTGTCAACAATCAATAAGAAGTAACTTTCCTCGCAAGCTAAAAAGAGACTCAGTTCTGAGAAAGGGTTAAATACACTTTACGATTTACACTCTGCCCGAATGTTCGAAATCTCGACGAGTCGAAAGCGTTCATTGAACGGACCCACAATATGAAACGTTAAAGTGGACAAGGTACGTTTGCAAGAGCTAGAACCGCTGGCATATTTAGATATAACAATTCGATATAACAACAGCTTGTCGTTCAAGAACCCTGAAGACTTTGAATATCAAGTTTTCCACTATTACCTATTAAACTTGTACATCGATTCTCGCGGAGATGCTTGGGCTTAGTTCGGAGCATGCGTTACTCGGAACAATTTCGTTTATCGATAACGCCTTATCTATATTAATGCCTCGATGCTCGAGTGTTGTCCGTTGACGTTAAAAACGCGCGAAACGCCGTCTAATCCGAATAATAATCGTCAATCTGAGTATCACAGATTATCCAAATAATTTCAAATGAGTCGCCTTATTATTATTATCATCAGTAAATCTTTTTTTTTTTTTTTTGCTTTTCTCTTCATCATCTCCCGTTACGAATTATGATATACAAACGTTCGCGATTTCTCTTTCGATTCTTCCTTCGTGTTCTACCTTCATCTTTTTCCCCCATTCTTCTTCTTCCTCTTCTCTTGCACAGTTCTCCATCAGTCATCTCGAAATCATTGAACGTCGACGGGCGATGTCGCACGATCGAACAGGCGAATCATACGTCGACGTCGTTCGCTCATGTATGTAAATTTGTCGCCGAGTGTTCGCACGGGCCCGATACATTAAAACTCGAGTATCCGCGTCTCAGTTTGCAATCTGCATGTCCTGCGTTGTGTGTCTTCTCTTTCATTTGTGTGTCGCATTTTTTTTGTTTTCTCTTTATTGTATAATATATATATATTTTCTGTTTTTTTTTTCATTTTTATTTTTTAATTAATTCTCTTTAGCCTAGCGGCAATAATACGTTACCAAAAGCTTATAGATACCCTTATGCGCTGCTACCAAGGTTTCATTTATTTATTTATTTAGTTTTCTTGCGATTTAATTTCACATAATTCTCTCTCTCTCTCTCTCTCTCTCTCTCTCTCTCTCTCGTTCCTCACCGGCTGCTTCACCTCGTCTTTTGTTATCTTCTTGCCAGCCGAGTTCGCGAGACCGATTTACCACCTACAACTTATATTGCCTACGGTTACGAGTTTCGCCGATCTTTTTTTTTTTCTTTTTTTTCTTTTCTTTTGCTTGCCGTTTATTATTATAAGTTAATAATTGATTGCGATTGCACACTCACATTCTCGCGCCCACTCTCACTGCCTCTCGTTCTGTCTCACTTTTACGCTCACGTTCATCAATCCTCCCTCTCGTGTTTCTCGAGTTTGTCTGCCCCCTTTCTCTCGAATTCGTACGCGGGACTAGTCGCCCACGAAAACCAAACGGGAGGAAAGAAAAGGAGAAACGAGTCGTTTTTGACTAGTGTGGTTTTGACAACGACGCGTCTGTCCTCGAATGAAAAGGATCGCGTCGTTTCTTTTACTCGGTTTTTTTTTTTTTTTTTTTTTTTGCGTTGAAACACCTGTTCAACGTTTCGTTCTTCGGCGTCCTCCCTGGGAAAAAATATCGAGGCGACGATGGCGTTGATTCGAATAGGATTTTCTCGGGGACGTGGATAACTCGAGGGTGAATAATTGGCGAGGCAATTCCTTAGCCGGTTGCACCTTTTGTACTCTCTACGATCGACATCAAAGCACGTAATTTCGATCTAATCGATTTTTCTGCCACATCTAATTGCACGTCCACGCGCGCACGTGGATCCCCAACCCCGACGAGATTCTCACTCTCTCTCTCCCTCTTGTAACGCTCTGAGATTCCCCTCTATATCACTCTAATTCATCCCCTCGTTACGTTCTCGCCGAGGCCCTCAACCACGCAGTCCCGACGTGGACGAACCACATCGATCACTCATCTAAGAATTCCTTTAATTATTATTAGGTAAACTTCATCACCCCCCCCCCCTTCTCTCCGTTTCTATTTATTATCGTTTGATTAGTTGCACTAGCCTTGATTGTCGGCATTTTAAGGGCTGCTGGAGCAGGCAGCGTTTTATGGCGACGTGCTGCGACTCTCTTCGTTTCGAGCGCGACATATTTTGTGTTTCGACCTGCGTTTTTCTCCCTCCCTCTCTCTCTCTCACACGCGTTCTCCCTTATAATCAACCGTGAAACGTGTCCCGAGTCTCGATCGGACTCGCGAGCGGGGTGAACGCGTCCCACTGTCTCTCCTCGCCATCTTTCGCCACTCTCGTCGCCGCCACCAGATCGGGCAATAATTCGGAACAAGCTCGGAATCGACGACAAACACGGTATACAAATTTCAAAAGACACGTAGAGGCATTAACTGTAGGTTCGTTAAGGTTAACGGATCATCATCGGCGAAGCGAATCTTTGGCAGCGAGAGGGTCGAGCGAAAGAGTTTGGCCGGAAACAGATCTCGGGAGTTCGATCGGCCTCGACATCAACCGCGTCCGAGCGAACGCACCACGATCTTCACCACGTCGATCGAGAGTGTCCCGAAACCCTCCAACACCCACGGAACGATCCTCGATCATTCGGGACGCTGCGCACGATCGACGATTTTTCGACTGAGAAAAAGAATACGGTTTTGAAGTTTTCGTTGCCTCTTCGACGAGGCTCGCTACCCTCGCCAACGATCTGAAGTACACGGCCAATCTCGAAACGTCATTTGGAAGCCTCGATTTGCTCAACGATAGTTGGTTTATCTTTGGAGACTGCGTGTTTTTTTTTGGTATTGTACGACAAACGGGAGGGACGATCCTCGAACTTCGTCGAAGGGAACGCGTCCTGCGCCAAGAGACGTGCTTCACGAATATATACACTCCCTTTCAAAAGTATTAGGACACCTGCTGTACACAAGGTTGATCTTCAAGGCGGATGCGTAACTAAGGTCACAAAATAAAGTAGAAAGACTAGGACGGTGGCTAAAAAATACCGAAATTCGTCAGTTGAAGAATGGAAAAATGTTTTGTGGACCGACGAATCTGAAATTGAGGTGTTCGGTTGCAAGCTTGTGTTTTAGAAGACCTGAGGGAAAAATGATTCCTGACTGTATAATTAACCCACAGTTAAACATGAAGAGTGGTCAATAGTGTTGGTGATTTAATAAATATCGAAGGGATGTTCTGAAAAGAACAATATTTGTCTATTTTACGTGATCATTCCATTTGGGAGGCGATTAATAGGCAAAAATTTTATTTTCATGCGTGACAACGACCCCAAGCACACTGCAAGGGTTTGTAAAGACTATTTGCACCATTTAGAACAGAGTGATGAAACAAAAATAATGCATTTGCTCCCTCAAACCCCCGATTTGAACCCAATAGAGAAGATTTAGGATGAATTAGATCGGAAAATCTGTGAAGTGTGTTCAAAGTCTCAAAATCACTTATGGAACAAACTACAAAATGCAAGGAACCAAATAGTACCATAAACAATAATTAGAAAAACTAATAATTTAGTCTAAAAAACGCGGTGGATATATCGACGAAAAGAAAATTTAACTTTCTTCTGCAAAGTTAATGTTATAATTACTATAATGTAAACTATATATACCTTTCCCAGCTTAATACAACTAACTTTGAAATAAATTTAAGAAATTATAACAATTTCCTGTAAGTGTCCTAATACTTTTGGAGGCGTGTGTATATATATATATATATATATATATATATATATACAAATATCCAAGGATCGAGTACAAAGTTCCCCGGGGATGAAGAGGATCAGATCGACAGAGGACAAGGAAAGGCGGATCTGTCTTCCTTTCTCTTCTCTCCCTATCCCCTTTTCTTTTGCGCGCAGGTAACATTAACGGTACATAGACTAGGCACGAAGCTATGCAACACGAAAACTTAGGACTAGGCGTTCGTTTTCTAAAACGGTGAAATCGTATCGAGCAACCCCTGGACAGGCGTCATCGCAAAGGCGTAGCCAGCTGATAGATGTACATACATACGTACGTATGTTCGGAGCGTGAACGTGGAGGAAGAAAATGGCGGCGGGATGCGAGCCTGCAAGCTTCGCGCGGCAAAATGTGGAGAATCTAGAGATACGCTCGTACAGAGGGAAACTACGTCGTCGAGAATAACTGTTACTCGATGGAGAAGGCGGGGGAGGAGTTTGCAAATTTGTTTGATAAGCTCGAAAGCGGAAAAACATATATATATATGTGTGTGTGTGTGTATGTATAAACGACACGAATGTCTCGAGCGGTGGTGGCGTAGGTTCGATATAAAAAATGTGAGACGCGAGCTTGCAAGCTCGCGTTAAGCTCGATACGCCCGATCGTCGTCCCTCGAGTGTCCATTCGATCAATCGTGCTCGATCTCGAGGGTTTCGCTGTATAAAAAGTGGGAAGAGCTTGCAAGCCTGCGAGAAGCACGACACCGAACCTCCCGAATTTTTCTCTCTCGTCGTGTGTGTAAATTCCTTCGTTTTCTTTTGTCTTTTTCCTCGATCGATGTCTGTCGCGCGAGGGACGCGCGCAAAGTGACAAGATGATGACGAGTGCAAGGGAACGCGTGAATCTCGAGCTTGCAGAATCCGAACGTGCCTGATCGTTGCTGTGCGTTGAACCGTTGTCTGAATAGCTGTGTTACAGTACTGTAATAGTCTTAACTAGATACGCCTCTGGATGGCTGAGGGGATAGATTTACAGACTAGAAATTGATACGGGTGTTTGCGCGTCGAAAGAGCAAAGTGAAAGTTCTTCGTAGCAAAGAGGAATCCGCAGGCTGATGCAGGCGGCTGATATTACAATGTTATTCAACGGTATTACTTATACAAACGCTAGGTTTACCTCATCCCTCTCATCATCGCTTAATCTTCTATATCGCGTAATCGATTCGCTGAGGGCTCTGACAGGGGACTAGCCATTAATTTTAGTCGTTTCGTTATTTCTTCTTCTTTGTCTCCTTCTTCTATACGATATCTTTGCTACATTCTTCTCGATCTATCTTCGTTTCGTGTCGTCGATAGTCTGATTCGTAACGATCAGGACCGAGTGTATTCCGTGACGTCCGACATCTATTTTTCTCTATTTCTGTTCGAAGCTAATCTAGTCCTGAACGACGAGAGCCTTCTTGACGAGCATCCAGGTGAATCTGGGATGTATCAGAAGTAGGCGAGCTAGAGACAACGAGGGAGCGTTCGGCTTGAGGCACTAGGACGCGTCCAGGGAGAGGCACTCTGCGAGGAAGTCCTCCATGGAACGATAAGCGTGTTCCAACACGCCTGTCAAGGCGTGGTCTTCGTCCGCGTAACTCTGTCAAATTAGAAATGTGATTCGTACATGTGTCTGTGGAGCAGAGGGTGGCTAACTGGCGGCACCTTCTTGCTCCTACTACCTTCTCCACTGCGTTCGTAGAGAAATCAACAGACTGAGAGATAGTGGGATCCATACACGGCGAGAAATTCACGTCATTCTGACGTGGTGGAGGGGACAGAGATCAGAAAAATAGGACCAAGAGATTCTCCAGCCAGTTAGCCAGCCCTGTTTTAGAGAAACAATATTTCAAAGAATCACGTACCTGGTACCTAAAGATGATACCCGCTTCGGACAGAGCCTTAGCAAAGGCGACACCGTGCGTATAAGGCGCTGTGAGGTCGGCTAGACCATGAAGAAGGTAGAGGCTATGACTGGGCACCAACCTTGCCCTCTGGGTCAGATCAGCCTCCACGTAACCTTTGTAGTTCTCCTTTAGGGCGCCGAGGACTCGTTCCGTGAACGCGGAATCTATACGAACGATAGAAACGTTTAAACAATACGTTCGAACGGTACAAATCTAGACGAACGTCTCTTCACTCGTTGCAGAATGCAACTCACTGTAATAGAGCCAATCGGCGATAGGATTCACAGCGACGCCACACTTGAACACGTTCTCCTGGCTACCCAATACCATGGCAGTCACGTAGCCGCCGTAACCCCAACCCCACACACCCACCCTCGTGTCGTCCAGGTACTTCAGAGTCTTCAGCAAGTGTCTCAACACGGTCAACTGATCTTGAACCTCGACGCCGCCGATCCGCCTGAACAGATCTCGTTTCCCCTGACCCCTGGCACCGCGCACATCTAGCCTGATGTACACTACGTCATTGTGGCTGGACATGTAGGTCCCCCAATCGATTCTGAATCGATCCGTCACTGCTTCGCTCCCTGGACGACCGTTCACTTCGACCAGGACAGGGAACGCCGCGTCTCGGAGCTCCTCTCGCCACGAGGGCGGTAACAGCAGCTGCACCTGAGCCTTCCATCCTTGAGGTAGGGGCACCTTGAGGAGAAATTTTTTTAAGAGTTTAAAAGATAGATTAAAACAAGGGAACTGTTGTCTGAAATCTGCGAGAAGACGACGATTCGATTGGGTAGCTTTGTAGCGTGCTCTTCTCATTTTGAAATGTTTTCAGGTTTTCTGTTTTCCATTTTTAAGATAAAGTTGTGTTATACAGGTTGTTACGAAATAATAATTCAATGTTGGGTCATCCCACAATGTGAGCTTTCGAGAATCTTGTTGAAAATGTTTAAGGTTTCCTGTTTTTCATTTTTAAAATACACTTATATCATATTACAGATTGTTACGAAATAATAATTCAATGTTGTGTCATCCAACAATGTGAGTTTTCGAGAATCTTGAGAAAACTTGAAAGCAAACCTATACGATTCGATTAGTTACTTTCTACGGTAGTTTTCTCATTTTGAAATGTTTAAGGTTTCCTGTTTTTCATTTTTAAAATACACTTATATCATATTACAGATTGTTACGAAATAATAATTCAATGTTGTGTCATCCCACAATGTGAGCTTTCGAGAATCTTGAGAAAAATTGAAAGCAAACCTATACGATTCGATTAACTACTTTCTACGGTAGTTTTCTCATTTTGAAGTGTTTGAGGTTTCCTGTTTTTCATTTTTAAAATACACTTATATCATATTACAGATATTATCACGAAATAATAATTCAATGTTGAGTCATCCCACAATGTGAGCTTTCGAGAATCTTGAGAAAAATTGAAAGCAAACCTATACGATTCGATTAATTACTTTCTACGGTAGTTTTCTCATTTTGAAGTGTTTGAGGTTTCTTGTTTTTCATTTTTAAAATACACTTATATCATATTACAGATTGTTACGAAATAATAATTCAATGTTCAGTCATCCCACAATGTGAGCTTTCGAGAATCTTGAGAAAAATTGAAAGCAAACCTATATGATTCGATTAGTTACTTTCTACGGTAGCTTTCTCATTTTGAAATGTTTAAGATTTCCTGTTTTTCATTTTTAAAATACACTTATATCATATTACAGATTGTCACGAAATAATAATTCAATGTTGAGTCATCCCACAATGTGAGCTTTCGAGAATCTTAAGAAAAATTGAAAGCAAACCTATACGATTCGATTAGTTACTTTCTACGGTAGTTTCCTCATTTTGAAATATTTAAGGTTTCCTGTTTTTCATTTTTAAAATACACTTATATCATATTACAGATTGTTACGAAATAATAATTCAATGTTGAGTCATCCCACAGTATAAGCTTTCGAGAATTTTAAGAAAAATTGAAAACAAAGGGAATGTTATCTGAGATCTGCGAGAAGATTGGTTACTTTTCTAATGCTTTTCTCATTTTTATGAAACGCTGAAACGTTTTAAAGTTTTCTGTTCTTTACTTTTAAGATGCGGTTATGTTACACAGGTTGATACGAAATAATAATTGAATGTTGAATCATCTCACAAGTAATCTGAATTTTCGAGAAATCCTGAGAAATTGATACGGAAAATTTAGCAGAAAACGAATAAAGTTTCGCGTTTACTAATAAGATGATGCAACTGATGATGGCGATTAGCCATTTTCTCGTTTCTATGGTAGCAGGTACCTCGAAGCTTCTTCGAGTTGGTAACGCCAGTTGAGAAAGTTTGTCTCCTCGTTGAATTCGCGTGTCATATAACACGCGGATCATCTTGTGAGAGGTCGCCGAGTGCACGCCAGCTAGTGGAAGGCCTGGACCCTCGCAGTAGAGAACGTAGTAACCCTGAGATTCGTCGTCGATTGCTGGACTTACAGAGGCACCAAAGTGCGTACAGTTGGTGTAATAGAATCTGTAAAATTTATCAGTTCTTACTGTTAAATTTACGCTCACAGTTGCTTGTCATCGATATGGTAACTCCAAACTCTGTAGTTGGATATCATTGACATCTTAGTCGTCTCACATTCCACAACTATTTCGTATCTCGAGTTTGAACTGAACCCGGACATAAGACAGAAGTATATAATATTCGACAATATTTAATTTTTAATCGGGTAAAACTAACTTAACTCTCCACGCAATCATCGTCAATAAATTCCTCAAGCTTGTAGATGAAAAAGATTGAAACGATTCACAGTTTCGTTTTAATTCTGTCGAGAATCGAGAAATTGGCACGAGAGTTGGAGTTAACTTGGAACAGAAATTTCCTACGTCCTAAATACACAAGGACCCACCTACTGCTCCAAAGAACTTCGCCAAGATCACACGTGACGCAGAGCGGTTCCAGGCGTCGGGGATCATCGGTAGTGGGATCACGAACCACGTAAAGATGTCTCTGGCCCGGCCTTCTCTCCCTGGTGCCCAAATAGTACACCAAATGGGCTTTCGTGTCCCACGCTAAGATCTCGCTTACCTTACAAACGCGGGACGGGCGAAACATGTGTAAGAAATAGGTGCTGGCTTTTGCACGTGACACGTGATTAGCTGTTAATCTGTCTCACCTCGTAACGACCGTGAGAGAGGACCGCTATCCTCTGTTGTGTCAAGGTTACGTGCTTGATGTGGGTGAAGTGCTCCTTATCACCCTCCTGAACAGAAGCCAACAGCAAGAAGCTGTCACCGTCAGGGGCAAATAGAGGATGAGGTTGTGCGTCTAACCATTGTTCTTCCGGCGCTCTCTCCGAGTGGGTCTCCTCGCACTCCCACAACGGCGCTCGACAAGCCGATACCAACGAGAGATTCTGCGATCTGGTCATCCAAACGACCGCCACATGGCTGGAGTCGTCGCCCACCCAGCCCGCGGATATCAAATAATATTCCCTACGATCGAAACAAATTTCTTCTTCACCGGTTTGCGCTTTCGTTTGCGTAACCCAGTTACGTTCCTCCCACTTTTTTCTATCGTTAAAAAATTTCTTAAAATTGCAACGTACAGTTCTTCTCGATGCGCAGGAGGATTTTTTCATTTCGAAATTTCTCTAGAAAACATTTCTGACACGTCGAGATATGGAAATTCTATCCACGTGGTGGAAAATTTATACGAGGACCTTTCAATCGATCGTTTTGCGGTCTGAGATTTTGCAATTCTCCTAAACTACCAAGAGAAATCACAAAACTTGCCAATTTTTTTTTTTTTTTTACAAAAATTACCTCCGCGAAAGAATTCGTATTATTCTTCTAAACACTAATATTAATTTGCCTCAGCTCGAAGCATCTTCACTGCTACTCACTGCCCGTCCAAAGCAGGTGGCGGCTTCAGCCTCATCTTGAACAGCGTGGTCGAGTTGACGGTCGAACCATTGAAGAAGCTGGTCAGGTTGCTCAGTTCCATGATCCACAGATCCACCTCCGGATTCGGCGAGCCGGGGGTGGGATATCTGACCGACTTGGATGGGGGGAACGAGCCTGTCCTGGTCGTGGACAGTGGGCCGGAGCTGGGCCCGTCCTGACCCGGTTGGGTGCCGAACCAAGGAAATTCCAGGGCAGTGACCTTGGTGTCGTTGAAGGAAGCATAGAGTAGGTGCGTGCCGTCGGGGCTAGGCCAGGTTGCTTCCGGCCGCGGCAGCACTTCCTCTTGATACAGCCAGTCTGGCACGCCGTTGTATATCACGCCGGGAACGCCGGTCTCGGTTATTCGCGCGTCCTCTGCCGCGGTCGGCGCTATTCTCACGTATATGTCGTTTTCGGAGATCATCAGGAGGCCGGTCGTGTTGCCCAACCAGGCGGCGTGCTGCAGCCGCGTCTGCTGCATCCCCCGCGACGTGTGCAGGCGAAGAGGCGTGTGGTGGCTGAAAACAGCAGCAGACGTAAATGCGAACGAAAATGCGCGCGTAAATATATACAGGGTGGAGCCGGAATTCGTAGTACAACCGAGCAGTGAGTGATTCTACGTTAAAAAAGAAGAAAAGAATTTTTATCTGGCGGTCGGTTTTCGAGAAGATCGACTTTGCGAACGATTTAGTTATCTATTCTTTTATCGCGACTGTCTCCGTCCGAGATCGTGTTGACAAACATTATTTATTGTCTGGTTAAAGCAGTAAGTACAAAGTGTAGTACAAGTGGCAAGGAGAGGAGAGTTTACTTACTCGTTCGTGACGTCGTACACTGTGTAGTACGCGGTGAAGGTATTTCTGAACACCTGCAATGAGGACCGAGTCGTTTGGTTATTCGACAGCTTTTCAACTGGGAGACATTTACGGGGTTTCAAGGTTTCACGATTAGAAAATCTGCCTTTTGAATTCGAAATCGAAATTATTATGCTCTAGGGGAATTTACATTTTCTATCTACAGCGCAGACCCAAAGTTTGACTACCACTTGCTAAATTTGTATCCCATAATTTTTGTTAATTTTCAGATTACATTCTACAATGTTTATTTTAACATGGGAAATACTAAAACAAGGAAATAGATATTGACACATTACAAGTGTGCATGAGATCTGTACATTTCGCATGCAAAACATTTATAGGCTTCAAGGTTTTCACGATTAGAAACTTTGCTTTTTAAATTGAAATCGAAATTATTATGCTCTAATTAATATTCAGTAACTACCACTAGCTATATTTATATTTCCATAATTATTGTTTGTTCGATATTTCACGAATTTTCAGATTACATTGCGCAATATTTATTCTCTATACGGCAAATACTGAAACAAGAAAATTGATACTGACATTAGAAGTGTGCATGAGATCTGTACATTCAGCATGCAAAACTTTTGGTTGGTAGCAGTGTTTCGACACGTGTGTATCGTGTGTGCGTTATGTTAGAAAATTGAATCGTTAGAAAGTTACACCACTGAGAAAGCTAGGGAATTGAGTTATTGTAGCCACACGATTCAAAGGGATCGATGGAAATCACGGTTCTCTATTTTCAATCGCTGAAGATTGGCAGAATTTCCTATCGCAGTTTCTATCACTCACCGGTTTGACATTGTGCTTGAACAACACGTAACGCAGATCGGAGCTGCACTGGTAGCCTTGAACATTCAGCTGTCTCTGGAAATAAAGCCGTCGAAGATTTACGGGCTTGTGCATTCCCCATTTTCCCGCGCTGGCGCGAATTTTACGATACGTTCGGCTATCCTCGAACTTTCAAGAAACAAAATCTCTCGAAACAAAAGTCCATGTGCAACGGCCTCTCAAACCGCATCGCATTTTCTCAACGCTTTCCATATGTTTTTAACTGTCTAAACATTTTATTGAACGTTGAATATCAGCGTTAAACGACAAAAATATTCAAGAAATTCGTCATTTAACCCTAATGTTTCAAGTCCAACAAAATGATGAAACAAAAAACTCGTATGGCAAGTTTTAAGGGCGCCTTATAAAGAGAAAATGTCATTCTTCAAGATTTGGCAATGAAAAATATTTTTTAATGTTATGTGTAATATTTAATAAATGTGTAATATTTTTTACACATTTTTGAGGAAAAAGGGAACTTTCTCATCCGCTGCACGTTGTGAAAACATTTTTGAAAAAATGTTTGTCAAAGTAGAAGCTTTATACAATACTTTGAAACGAGAGCAAGTAGATCATGAGATTCATTACAAAGTTATATTAGTTAAAATTGTTCACTGTCATTGGTATCCTCTTTACTGTAGCTTCAAGTAAGAGTTTATTAACAAGAATATTAAATTAATCGCAAATTTATAGCACGTTCGAAGCAGTACGTAATTTTTAATTGCTTTTTTGTTAGTTTGTTGAAATTAAGAGTGAAGTGCACTCTTATTTTATTAATGCATCTCGCATTTTCTCAACGCTTTCCACATGTATTTACCAATAGTTTTTAACTGTCTGTTTTTAACTGTTTAGTTTCAAGTTTAGCGTTTAATAGCTTTTAATCCAGCGTCATTGTTATTATCTTTTTGGCAGATAATAATTTCCAATTACAACGGTTAGAGTTGCATATGCAAAAGAGTATGAAACGTCCAATACTTTGTATGTTGATCAACAATTTTCCATCTACTTTCCTTTCCCCAAATTTTATTATATAAAAATATGAATTTGCATGAAAACAGGAAATCTAGCAATTATATTATAATATAATTATATATATTCTAGAAAATATAATTATAACTACAATACGTTTCGAAATAACAAGAGCAAGATTTCAACGTGTTGATCGTGATTGTTCAATCTTTATAAAACGTTGCGTTGCAGTAAAATTTGTATTGCTTAAAATTTCTCGAAAGCACGATCTTTTTATCTCGACTGAAAAGGTACTATAAAGTGAAATATGAAAATCAGAATTTGATGTCTTCCGAACTGAAAGACGAAGTAGTCGAGGTTTGTTTCTCTAGTCACCGGATAGATTATACAGAGAGAGAGAGAGAGAGAGGGACAGGAATTTTGAACACGTTGGAAGAGTTCGTCTCTCGTAATCGGTTCGCCGATGTCGCGCTTGAAATACTGCTCGGCACTGTGCTTCTCGTCGAGAGCATTCTATTCGAAAGCGATAATGCGACTCGACGCGGGCGAAAGTACTTAACTCGATCAAATGTTCACACACTCGTCGAGTAAAATCCTCCATCCAATTTCATTAAGGGCAACAGTTCTCGCCGTCAGCGAGCGAGTGGCGCCTCTTACATAGCCGAGCCGTTTAATCTTCCGAGCGTTCTTTGGAATCAGCGAAAGCATTGACAGCGATTGTCACGGCTCGCGCTCATTAACCGCGATTTCTCCGACTCGACAGCAAGAAATCGTTATTACCCTCAATCGTATTTCGTATTCTCCCGACGAGCGATCGTTTCGTTAACGACTGCTAAATTTGACGCTGTCGCTTTTCAAATCTCTCACGAAATTTATCCTTATTTGGTATTCTAGAGTTTAATAGCGAAACTCTGCTCAGTACATGGAAAATATAGATAATTCAAAGCTTTGAAGTAAATACGAAGAAAGTACAAAATTTAAAAAGATACTTTGACACTCGAATATTCGAGACTTTGTACGCTATTAAATAAATATTAAAATTTATTAATTTTGTGAATATTAGAATTTATTAATTCTATAAATATTAAAATTTATTCTATAAATATTAAAATTTACTAATTTTATAATTAAAATTTATTAATTCTAAATATTAAATTCTATAAACATTAAAATTTACTAATTTTATAATTAAAATTTATTAATTCTATAAATATTAAATTCTATGAATATTAAAATTTACTAATTTTATAAATATTAAAATTTATTAATTCTATAAATATTAAAATTTATTAATTCTATAAATATTAATATTTATCAATTTTATAAATATTAAAATTTTAGAATAGTTTAGAATAATTCCCAAGCTAAAGAACAATTGAGCAATTATTGATGAGCGAATATTGAATTCATAATCTATATGAGAAATTAAAGCTTCATGAGTAAATTTTCATATTTATAATTCGTTCCTCAGTGAACGTTGTCTCGGCGAATATTGAACAATTTCTTCACTCGTTCTCTTTTTATTTGATTCTTTATATCAGTCTCTTTCCTCTCGTTCTAGTTCGCGATCGTTTTTCACTCGCCTCACGGGCACGCGGGATCGTTCTGTCGCGTCGAGCGGAAAATGCAATAGCATCGAGACGAACGACGTCCTTTTCTCTTGAATAAACCGGCGAATACCTCGAACTTCGCCTTATATACGGGCTACTCTTCTTGTTTTATGACGTGCCGCGGGCAAAACTCGCCTATGCGCGATAACGAGGACCACGGATGTTTGATACTCGACGTTAAAACTGTTTGTTTGCTTCTGCTCTCGTTGCGAGAAGAAATTTCGGCGATTAAACGATTTGCGTTTGCAAGAAGGCAACGCCAGCTTTTACACAATCTTCTCTGTCGTATAAAAAATTCGTTTAATTCTCATTTTTAAAAAAATTCGACTTTCCATTTACTGTAAAATGGAGTTACAGTGAAGAGCTCAATGACAATGGAAAATTGTCGATAATATTCGTTGATATCACTTCGTTAAAAAATATCTCATTTTAAAACGTGAAGCCTTTGCTTCGATAATGAGCTTGTTTCTTTTTTTTTAAAGATGATGTTACATCAAATATATACTTCTTTTTTTTTTATCGAGAATTATAAAAATTCAAAACATTAAAGAGTCGAGTAAAAATATTGAAGAGTATTCTTTGCAACTAGGTCTACCATTATTTTGAAGACTGAAATCTCCTCTTAAAACATTTTACTGAACGTTGAATATCAGCGTTAAACGACAAAAATATTCAAGAAATTCGTCATTTAATCCTAATGTTTCAAGTCAATAAAATGATAAAACAAAAAAATCGTATAACAAGGACTCCTAAGGATTCCTTGTAAAGAGAAGATATTATTCTTCAAGATTTAGTAATGAAAAATATTTTTTAATGTTATGTGTAATATTTAATAAATGTGTAATATTTTTTATCTGTAATATTTTTTACACATTTTTGAGAAAAAACGGAACTTTCTCACCCGCTACACGTTGTGAAAACATTTTTGAAAAAAGAAACGAACTCATGTTTGTCAAAGTAGAAGCTTTATACAATATTTTAAAATGAGAGCAAGTAAATTATGAGATTCATTACAAAGTTATGTTAGTTAAAATTGTTAAAATTGTCATTGGTACAGTTATCCTCTTTACTGTAGCTTCAAGTAAAAGTTTATTAACAAGAATATTAAATTAATCGCAAATTTATAGCACAGTACATAATTTTTAATTGCTTTTTTGTTAATTTGTTGAAATTAAGAGCGAAGTGGGTGACTGGTCTTCTTATTGCAATTATGCAACGAATAAAAGATAGTGCACCTCATAGAGTTAGAATTAATTGTGTGAATTTTCTCCTTTATACATGACTGCCGCTCGGTTTTAATCAAGATATAAAGAAAAATATTTTTTGAAGTTTGAATTTATATCAGGGATGTGATTATATTGTTATTATATTAGAGACGAAATTTATATCATATTATTAAATTTTAGATTGTCGAAATAATTCTACTTTGAATTTTTATAGACAAATAAATAAAAAGAATAATTAAACTTTCTTCCACATTGAAAATCATTGTCAACTACCAAATAAGAAGAGCAATTAAAATTTCTGTTCTTCTAAGTTTGAATTTATATCAGGGATATGATTATATTATTATTATATTAGAGACGTAATTTATGTCATATTATTAAATTTTAGATTGTCGAAATAATTCTACTTTGAATTTTTATAGACAAATAAATAAAGGAGTAATTAAACTTTCTTCCACATTGAAAATCATTGTCAACTACCAAATAAGAAGAGTAATTAAAATTTCTGTTCTTCTAAGTTTGAATTTATATCAGGGATATGATTATATTGTTATTATATTAGAGACGTAATTTATATCATATTATTAAATTTTAGATTGTCGAAATAATTCTACTTTGAATTTTTATAGACAAATAAATAAAAAGAGTAATTAAACTTTCTTTCACATTGAAAATCATTGTCAAATACCAAATAAAAAGAGTAATTAAAATTTCTACTGCACTTGCGTTACATGTATAAGTGAAACTGTTCAGTGTTTCATTCTATGTAACAAGCTAAAATTTTTCGTTTCACATCGCGATTGTCTAAATAATTCTACATTAGATGTTTATAAGTTAAAAGAGTAATTGAAATTTCTTTTACATTGAATATCATCGTTAAGAGAGAGAAAGTAATTAAAATTTCTAAACAAAGAAAATAATTACATTTTCTACTTCTATTCTCAGTATGCCGCGCTACATAATTGGCGAAATCTTTCGTTTCACTTCGCTCGCGATAATTCGCATTTTTAATTCCGTATTTGCCCGAGAATTCAGACGAGATCGTCCCGCAGGTCGAAGTTTTCCATCGCTCGGACGAGATCGTTTCGCTTTAATTGCCATTAACCTCAGAATTCCGCAAGCGTGGTTTCCGCGTGTTTAATTAATTTCGTTCCCGCGGTAAGTCGTTGAAATTTATGATCCTCTTTGGATGAGGAGACTGTTCAGGAAGCAGGAGTCGTTGATACGCTCTCCTCGCAACGCTCCTCGGATTTTCAAGCTGAAAAATATTCCCCAATTTTGAAAATCGCGTTGATTGCATCAGGCTTAATTGAAGCTGGGGAGTTTCTTGCACAAACGCTCGTTTGAACGGGGGTATTGCACTTGGACTGCAAGTCGATTATTAATCAACGACAGAACGAATTTTAATTGTCACCGATTTTGCTCGAACGCGAGGAGCACTTGAATTGATTCGTCTGTTCCAAAGTCTCGTGTTAGATCTGCACGAATTTCTATCAGCACTCTCGGATCGTAGAGCACGGCCACAGCTTCATAAACATGCATAGAAGGATCAAAATGCGGCGCGACTCTCGTGCTAAACTATGCAGATTCATACGAAATGATCGTATGTTCTTCTCTCTCTTTTACATACGTGACCGTGACGTTCATTGCAGAAACCATCTCCAAATATTTGTAGTCTTTAGGTAATAATGAATTCCAATGGTTGATAGCCTGATGCTATTTCTTGCAGAAATTTGTTTTTTATAAGTTTCGATTACTGTATCATACTTTATCAATGAAATTTGAGTAAAAAATTATAATCCTAGACACAGTGTGTCTAATAAATAAATAAATAAATTTCGATTACTGTGATTATGTTAAATTACATTCTAATTATAATGCAAAGATAGTTCTAGACACAGTGTCTTACAAAAGTATTTGCACACTTGTCGTAGAAAATTTTTTTTCAATGTCGTGTTATGTGAATTTTCTGGAGGAAGATAAATATTTTTTGTTATAAAGCCTCTTAAATTGTCGAAGCTCTATTTGTTGACACGTTTACTCGAAAAGTAATATTCTCGATGGGTAGTGTGGACAAAAAAAGAAAAAAAAGAAAGCAACGTGTAAAAAAAAATCGATACCGCGGCTAACGCTATTGTCAAAATTGCTTTCACTCTTTTTTCCCCACGGTTCTTCAAATTAATATTCATATCTCTTTGTATGCAATTTCCACGATCGCTCGTTGCGTAGTTTTCGGTAAACTGTCACACCGATTTTCATCAGCCGATCGACTTTTCATCAGCATTGTTGAATCAGTGTTCGTAAAATATACATTTGACATATAGCATTTAAGCAAATTTCTCCTTTTCAACGCAAGAACAATTTTCTATCTTTCCGATTATCCGGACTTTTGATCATTTGCCTTCTAATTTTGGTTATCCGATTCTTTCTTACAAAAATCTTATTGTACTGGGCTAGTATATTTCTATTTCTATTCTTCTTCTAATCGTTTCAAAATTCCTAATAGTTGAAGATTTAACCGGAAGAGATAAGCGAATTTTTAAGAATCAACTCCACCACGTCATATTTATCTATGTAACAACGATAAAAAGCAACATCATTGTTGTGATCGATTTCTTGGAACGTCTTCTGACCGACTGATTCGCCCATTCGATCCAACGTAATCATATGAATTAGTGTGCGAATCGTGTGATACGTACGAGCGTGTGATTAGAGACGAGAAGGGCCACGGAATTGTTGCTGGTGTCCAGGAGAGTGAGGGAACCGTCGTCCGCCTGGTAAACAAATTTGTCGTGGGCAATCCAGGTCGGTGTTAACCTGTGCGGCGTCAGATCATCACGAAGGCACTCGTCTAACGTGAGCCGTCTGCCGCTCCAGTACAGCAGCTCGTCGACGTACCTGAAATTTCGTGTCCAGTTTGATAAAAATCTTTCTCCTGAAAGATTGGTTAAATTTCCGATGTAATTTGATTAATTATCGTAACTATCAGTTTTTCGAACGAAGTCGATCTAGTCTGGAATCGTCGATTCGACAGCTATCGCTATCAAATCGTTAATTTTTGGAACTATCAATTTTTGAAGTCGATCTAGCCTAAAATCGTTGATTTTGACAACTGTCCAGTCGATAATTTTTGGAACTGTCAATTTTTCAATTATTAATTTTTTCCAAGTTTGATAATTATTCATTGACAATCTCTTGCTATCGAATCGCTAATTTTTGGAACTATCAATTTTCTAATGACAATTTCTGTCGAGCAAAATGTCAATGAGTTAGGTATTCGATCTTTTTCACTTTACCAAAAGTTGCGAATATTCTCGATTAATTTGTAGACTCTGGAATTAATTATCATTTATAAAATAATATTTTAAATTACAACAAGCATTGAAAAAGTCAGGAAACTTTTGTTAATAGATCCTACTTCAAATATGGATCGTAGAATCTCTTTCGAAAAATATTCTTACGTTACAGGCGTCTCATAAATGAAAGTTTTAGATAGTGAAGATAAAAATTTTTCTGTCGGAGGAACAGATAATACATCTATCGATACTTTTAGCAAATACTGACACTTAATACTATTCAATGAATTTTAATTAAATATTCTAAAATAACTTGTTCCCATGGAACATTTATCGTACAGACTCTAAGATACTTGTCTCGTGAGAATACTTAAAAGTGTTTCTAAATGCACAGTTTATTCCATAAAAATTCCACGAAAGCAGACAGTTCGAAATATGTAAGTTCTCCAACAGAATTTCCTTAAAAACGAAAAGAATCTGTTAACTTCAATTCCCAAAAGAATTGCAATGCTCCTTCGTTTTCTCGTACAAAGGATATTTCAAAAATAATACATTCTTGAGCCACTCTCAACCTCCGGAATTATTAATTTCTTTTTTTCATGACGTTGGTTAATGGTTTAAATCGCAATGCTTTTAAGATCTCCGGCTGAACGTTCGTGTTTACGACGCAGTAGCTGCGAGATGGCGCTGTTCAGTGGTTGCGAAAAAAGAGTGGAGAGGTTAATGTTATAGAAAGCGAAGGGATGTTCTCATTCCGTGGTAGCTTTAAGGGCGATAAAGTGAGGATTTTCTGGCGGAACGAGGCTGGACGTCCGAGAGAATTCCCCGCAAAAAGTGAACTACGAGGTAAAGAGTGAAAGTCAACTCGCGGCCTCTTTGAGCAAACTCTATATTCGACCTGTTCCGAGACGCGACATGATTAGTTCTCTCTTACTAGGGAGAAATCTTGTTAAGAAGTAAATATAAAATTCTGTTGAAACTCTTGTTATTAATAAGGAAATAATAGGTTCTTCAAACTTCTTCTTTATTAAAATTGAAGTTGACAGCACGGTGATTAAACCAAAATTATAATTCTTCTGATTCTTTGCAGGCAAGAAAAGAAAAATGTTAAATAAAGTTTTTGAATTTCTGAAGTTGAAAGAACTCTAATCGAATTAAATAATCCAGAACGAATAAAGTAGAATGTTAAAGTACAAATACGACGAAAAATTTAATATTACGAATACAATGTAGAACCTCCGTTATATGAACTAATTGGAAGATAAAATGTTCAGATAAAAGAATTTTCACATAAGAGAAAAAAGGTGACAAGCGATTAGCAGTGAATTTGATTTATTAATTAAAATACAGTGAAATGAAGTTGATATCATTTATTTCTAAATCTATCTATATATAGATTATATATTTTTTATACATAGATTTTGTATATATATAGATTTATATTATATATAGATTTTATATATATAATTTATACATATTATAAACAAAAAGGACATCAGTCTCATTCAATCAAATTGTTTTTAGCCACTAAAGTCTTTCGACTTGAAATATTTGAAATATTTGCTCTAAGTACTTTTTAATTAATTTATTAATTTATGTTTTACTAAATTTGTTCTTCACATTCAAATTTAATTATGTCACCTATTTTTCAATTATTAATAGTCACTTTAATTATGTCACCTATTTTCGTTATTACGATAAAATCTCAAGCTGAATCGTTGTAAACTGACTTCATTCTAATATAGAATATCGAGAAGTATATAAACACATTTATTCATTATGTATTGTAGCAGGAAATAAACAGTTCGTACAATAGAACATTCACATAAACGCATTTCATATAACTGAGGTTCCACTGTACTAGAAATTCCTAGTCTAAAATTCCAAACTAAAATTAATCTACTCTTAAAAACCTGAATAACTTCCATTTCTCAAGTTTGTTTACGGATCATTCGACTCTCTAGAAACGGATCATTTTTAATCTACGGGAAAAAAAAGTTTCAACGAGAAAAACAAGCGAAATCCAACTCGTTTCAACTCCGTTGAAAGAAAAAAGGCGAACAAATAATTTCGTTTACTGAAACAAGAAAACTCTCCCCGGATGAAAAACTCTCCCGGTGGAATTTTCGCGTTGGATAAATCGGTTTTTCCCCTGGATCGTTAATATAAAGGAATCAGGAGATCTTGCTCGATGCGGGGGAGTGGGGGAAGCAGATCGGCTTAATTTCGCTAGTCTACACCGGATAAGGCATTTCCGACCGCGTCCTTTGGCTGGCGGATGCTATATCGAGAGGATCGCGGACCAATAACGGGCTAGGGCGGAGGGTGTGGAAGAAAGAAGTATACTCACCCGAGAAGGTAAATGGCCGTAACGATCCCGGCGATAACAAAGCCGATGACCAGCAGCGAGAAGATTATGCTCCGCCAATTGTGGCCACCCTCCGCGTACGTTAGATCCTGTGAACAGGCCAGAGATCCTTCTCGTCAGCGATCGATCGATCTGCCGATTTATGTTGTCTCATCAAGTGCACAAGCTTGCATGCAACCGAACGGACGAAGAACGGACTTTGAGGACGAACGCGATCAGTAGACAGTAAACACGCTGTGGGTTCGTGATGTAACTGGTTTGTTAGTCGAGTGGATCTGATCTTCAGTCAGAGGATTCACCGAATCTGTTCGAAGAGGTTCCTGCGGGTTACCGGGCAGAGAATCTGCCAGGCGATCGAGATCTGGTGCGAGTAGGTTCGTGCATAGAATTCGTGATATTCTCGAGGATTTGGAGAGTAGTATTTGGTCTCTGGACCAAAGGAAAAAAAGGGTTGGACCGCGGTGATGGCGGTAGTAAAAATTCCCTCGAAGATCGAGGTCTATCTGAGAGATACAGTAATCTTGAAACCTGTGCTGCAGTGCTGATATTTACGAAAGGACTGTATAAATTTGTGAAAAGTCTATAGTCGTTGCTGAAATTGACATAGATATAAAAATTAATATAAAAATTGAAATAGATGTGATTGCAATATATATGCAACTTATTAAATATATAAAAAATTAATATAGAAATAAATACAATATGTACAAAATTAATTAAATACATAATATATATTATATTAAAAATTAAAATAGATGTAATTACAATATGTATGAACTAATTAAATATATAAAAAATTAATATAGAAATAAATACAATATGTACAAAATTAATTAAATATATAATATATATTATATTAAAAATTAAAATAGTTGTAATTACAATATATATGAACTAATTAAGTATATAAAAAATTAATATAGAAATAAGTATAATTACAATATGTACAAAATTAATTAAATATATAATATATATTATATTAAAAATTAAAATAGATGTAATTACAATATATATATGAACTAATTAAATATATAAAAAATTAATATAGAAATTAAAATAAATATAATTACAATATGTACAAGATTAATTAAATGTATATTACTTGATTTGTATAAATTAAACATATAACATATATTAAGTGATTTAAAAATATTTGGAATTAGATTGTACATGTATCTGTCAGATCGACCACGACTTCCGGAGGGTCTTGTGTTTTAGTTCAAATCGATTGATCGTGAATTGCTTGAATTTCAAATTTCTGTCTAATCGAAGTAACTTGACATTAAGTTTGTGCTTGCACTTTGTGTGAATGATTTTCAACTCAACTTTCACAACATCGAAATGGACGAAACTGGACGCTGGCTGAATCGCATACACGAAAGTATGTTTCAACGAAAATGAAACATTAAAAGAGTTTGGATGGACTTGAACTCTCTCCTCTGACGAATCTGAACATAGTTTTAGCGTTGCAAAGGTCCCAGAAGTAAAGCTTTAACAAAACGCGAACAACGCAATTGTATAGTGCAAGTTAAATTGCTGTCCTCTTATCACTTATTCGCTGAGAGAAGAGATTCACAAAAATTCTCACGAATTACTACGGTCTTACCCATCCTCGAATGAAAGTTTCCAATTTTATATTTAGAATTCTCGCGGTCTGGAGGTAAACTTTGAATAAAACATGGGCAACACGGTTGTATGGTAAAATCCTTGAATTTCTATCCTTTCATTACTCAGATGAAAAGCATTCGTAACGTTTTCACGGATTATTGCAGCACTTGAGTGGTTGATGAAGATTTTATACTTCACGCCGCGTTGTAAATGCAAAACTTCAATCTATAACACTTTCTTGAATTATACCACTTAACGTTATTAGATCAATTATTGTTATACTTTCGTTAATAACAGTGGTTATGAAACATCTCTGGTAATATTGTCGTATAATAATCTGAATCAGATTAATTAAGTAATCATTTAGAAATGAAGGAAACATTGAGTTAAAAATACAACGATAACAAATGAAAAGAATTAAATCTAGATCTAATTCTGCAGTTGACGATGCTAATTGAAAATTCAACTTTCTATCTGTCTATTATTCATTATTACCATGAATAACGCTTATCAGACTGCATTTATAAAAAATTTTATTGCAAAAACTTAATATTGCACAAGATACACGTGATATGAAGAAACATGTAAAATATCCGAAGCACAACGTCTTCGGTCCCATTTGTCAAGTAGCATAATTTTCTGTCGAGATTCTGTTCCTTCGAAAATATAAATCTGCAGCCTACTTAATAGCACAAAATAATAGAATCAAACTGAAGTCAAGCAGATGATTAACGAATCGTCGTTAATCGTCGCAGTAAAGTGACTCACGTTACGCTCACAAGGGTATATACCAATTTCGATGAAATTTGGCATGAATGCAAGCGTCAAGGGAATATTTGACACGTGTTCTTTCTTATCGACGATCGTCAATGTCGAAAGGGTGAGAACCACCCTTCGAAATTCGAAATTCCGTTGGCTGAGCAAAGCGGAACGACGCCACGATCGAACTTGCCTCGCCGACGACGACGACGATTATATAAAGAATATTATCGGGAATGCCGCGGTGAGTTACAGTGTTACGGTTCGTGGCATGCATATTGCATTTGGGTTATGCTCGCAACGTGGAGGCTGCCGCTGTTTGCGGGGCTAAGCCGGATAACACGTACCGGCCGTGTAATACATAGCGGGGCGCGACTGGATTTTCGGGACCTGTTTGAATGGCCACGCGACCAGCGCCACGCATACGCGTGTTTGCGCGCGCGATCAGGCTTCCACCGGGAGTTATCGATTCGCCGCGTAAACGTAGCTAATCCGGCCGCTGTTTGTCCAACGGCCTCCACCTCCGCGAACGATCACCGGTGTTACTTGCCTCCCTTTACTCGATTGCCCCCCGGGCACAATGACTTGCACGCTGGTTGATCCAGCCTTTCTTCCTTGCTTCTCGCGAATTTTAACACAATGATTGACCGTGTACGTTCAAAGTATTGCACATTTTCCACGTTGCAACTTTGTACGTGCACTCTCGCTTGGAAATCTTGGGGCATAGTATTTGTATGATAAAAATAGTACAACGAGGGTAAATTATAAACTATATACAATGTGATATATAATATGTATATAATTGTGAATACAACACATAATATAAATGACAGAATATTGTGTACGCAATATGTTGTATGTACAATAAATACGTGTAATAATTAAATAAATAAAGTAGAAACTCTAATGTATTGGTATGTTGTATTATGTATTAGTATATTCTATTGTATATTGTACTATTATATATACAATGTATACATACGGTAAAATTGAATTAAACACAAAGCACATTTAATTTTAAATTGAAATTAAATACAGTAAATATAAAATATACTTCATATAATAAAGACTCTATTATATAATATATAATATATACTCTAATATAATATTAATATATTATAATATTACATATATAATATTAATATATTATAATAATATAGATATAATATTAATATATTATAAAATATGTATATACGATGAAATACTGAATGTTAAAGACAAAAGTGTTCTAAGACTTTTGAGCAGGAGTGTATGTATATACGGTCAAATCTGTTCTGTACGATGATTAAATCAAACTAAGAGTTAAGGGTTGCGGGATAATTCATCTCTCTTGGATATTAAAAGTTTCTTTCCATTTATACTCTGTAATGTGAAATTTAAATACTTGCAAGCATTGTGTAATATAGATAATTATAATATAATTACATTTTATAATTAATTATAATACAGTAATATAATAATTATAATTATAAACTGCATGTTTCTTTCAAACAAATTACTCAGATACACTTAGGTACAGATCAGATAAAAGTTTCTGTCAGAACCAGACAGTTTTTTACTTCGATCAGAAATTATTTTTTCGACTGTAAATCTTTCGTTTTGGAAATAAAAGTCGAAAAGAGAGAATCACGTGACTTGACGACAAGAATTGCGTTATCAACGGGTCAATCAGAGAGTTCTTTTGGAAAGGCACGATGTCATACCTGAATCCGAAAATTTCCCCTAAAGTGGTGAAATTAAGAAAGCTCGACCAATCGCACTTCGAAGCTTCCTCCTCGAAGTCAGAGCCCTGATCATTAAATTTGTACCAGCTTTTAAACGGTCTCTCGTGGCTGTTTGCCTCAACATACATTTCGCTCCACGCGATTACGGAAACACACAACGTTTAGAAAAGAAATTTCCTTTCGTTCTGCTCTCGTTAAGCTGAAAGCTCGAAACGCGTTTAAAATATAATGAAAATGCAGCGCTACCTTCGTTCCCATCGTCTAGGATAATTCCATTCGCTGCAAATTTACGAACGATCGGTATTACCATTCGAACGCGATAATCGGTTTCCAACGATTTGTTTGTCGCAATGGTTGATCATCGATCTTCGTCGTCTTTATCCTCTTTTCTCTTCTTTCACACTTTCTTTTTTCCATTCTTTTCGTTATTCCTTTTTGTTTCTTGATTCGATTTCTCGTTCGTTCTTTCCAGCTTTTTCAACACGCCGAACGAATTTGCATACGCAGGACAAATTTGAAATTAATTACTAGTTTTAAAGAACGAAGGATATCAGTTCTTCTTCGTCCAGGTGTTTTTATATGTTTTAAAGTATTTTTATATAAGTATTGATTGTTTAAAGAGAAACAGCCAAGTGTTATTTTTAACTTTTTATTAATTTCTAACTCTGTTAATAACTTTTTTTATTAATTTCTAATTCTGCTAATATTCATGTACTGTTGTTATAAATCAATTAATGTGACGAGACACTTATATATCAGATTCACGTTAGATTTAGACGACGAAAATTTAAGAATTCGCAACGTTTTCGACTGATACTCAAAATTCAATAGAATGACGAAGAAAAATTATGCATCAAGTTTTTGCTCGTTGTTGTAAAGGAGAGGCTTCGATCTTCAAATCATATTAGATACAATCGCGAAGAAAATTGTTCAACGTTTCTATATTACTACTTAGTTTATAACATTTTCAAGAAAAACAGTGTCTTCACTTATCCACT